ACCCTGATGCTGGGAGGGATTGGGGGCAGGAGGAGAAGGGGACGACAGAGGATGAGATGGCTGGATGGCATCACCAACTCGATGGGCATGAGTTTGAGTAAACTCCGGGAGCTTGTGATGGACAGGGAGGCCTGGCACGCTGCTATTCATGGGGTCGCAAAAAGTCGGACACGACTGAGCGACTGAACTGAACTGAACTGCCTGGATTGCTCATCCCTCTGCCAAAATAATTTCATGCCTTCCTTCTGGCCATCAAATGATACCTTCTCTGATTACCTTGCATGAAACAGTATTACTTCCCTGCATCCCTCACCAATGTTATCACGCTTGACATCTGTTTATCAACTTATTACCTGTCTCTCTTGCCTCCCTACACTGGAAGGTAAACTCGTTGAGCAGGAACTCAGACTGTTCACTCTGTATCTCCAAATGCCTAGAACAGTAGCCGGCACACACTAGCTCTCAATAAATATTTGTGGATTGGAGAAATGCAAGATTCTTGATAAAATATATGATGGGATTCAGAGGAGAAAAAGGGAAAGGAATCTTTGTCCCCTTTGAGAAGCTCTTAAAATAATGTAAAGGACACTGATTCCCATCATTAGGAAGCTCCAAATCTGAAAGAAAGCTATAAATTTCATTTGGAGGAGAGCAGAATCTAATGGTAGAGATAGGTCTCCAACTTTGAGAAATTCACCATGGTGGTGGAAACAGGAATGATGGACCCTTCCAATGACTGAGACACACACACACACACACACACACACACACAGAATTCTCATGGGACATGGGGGAATAAAGAAAGGGAAGAAGGTTTTGTTCACTTCATGACAGCCCATTCAGGGGTCGGGAGAGCTGAATTATGAGGCCAGGACACATAACCCAGAGAGAAACAAAGGCAGAGCTATGTTCCCATCTGACTTGCACCAAACTGACTCCAGCCAACTGTGTGGGGATTGTTTCCTGGCTTCAGGCTTTTGGAAGTCTAACTTTCCCTCTTCCTTAAATATCTGACTCAGCTTTTCACAAAGGTGCCTTGAGCCCACATAGGGGCACTGGAAAGACTGAACAACCACCTCTGCCAGTGAACTGCCTCATTAACCGGAGCATCTCATTAATCTTACCATGATGCAAGCTAATTAGAAGTCTCTCTCCTCTCCTTCCTCTCATTCTACTCTTCTCTGTTCTCTCCCTAACCCTTTCTCTTTTGTACTGCCTCCTCTTTTTAGGTAAGGGACCAACTTTATAGCAGATGGGAGAGCAACACCATAATTTATTCACTTGAGTTGACAAATTGAGATCCTATGTGTGAGAGGAGAGGGGGACATATATTTAAATCTCAATCCAGCCAGTGTATAAAATAAAGAATAATCAGATAAGCAATAACTGTATTTTTATTTACCTATCAAGTTCCATAATTAAGATTTCCCTTTCACATAAAGGTACTGGTCCTGATTCAAGTCTTTGGTATGCATGAGTACAAAATAATCCTAATCTACACCAACCTATTAGAAACAGCATGTACTGTTTGGATCTTTGCACTGTAGCAGCTCATTTCCTCTGCAATCATCCCCCTTTTAATATTTTCTCTTGCCCTGGTAAGGTCCTGTTTTTCTTTGTTTTACAGTTTCTATCCTTATAAGCTACCTCAAATCATCCATGAAATACAGAAGGGTATCAAGATTAAAAAGCAACACAAACATGAAAACATCACCCATGTACAAATGGAAAATAAAGAACATGTAACAGAACTAAAGATAGTCCAAGACAAGAAAAGCTACTCATGCAACTGAGTCCACGGGGGCTAATATAATGAGAATAGATAGAAAAGACCAGGATCTCAGCATCTGAGAAGATAGAAACTGAAAGATGAAAAAGAGGCTGATAAAGAAACCTGGACCAAGGGGGGGTCTTGTCCACCCAACAGGAGCAAAAGGCTGCCCTTAAGGTCTAAGGTGTTTTACGCTGGCAAGAGTCAACAGAAAAATCTCTTTGTCCTAATAAGTAGTTAATGATTAAAATATAAATGGACTTAAGTAGAGATGAATATACATATGCCAAAGCCATGATGGATTATCATAATAAACTAGGATATGCATTTGGGAGAAAGCCCAGAACCTTTGGAATGGACAGAATTATAAGGTTCCAGAGTGCTGATTTCCTGGAGGTCCTCTGGGAAAATATGGTTTCATGGGAGAACAAAAATTTAGCCTCTTGATTTGAGAGTAGCTTTCCTCTGATAGAAACAGGATCATCAACATACTTCACCAAAAAGTAAGAACAATAGCTCCCTCTGAGATCTGCAAACCTCCATTAGGATCTGCATGGCTAGTTCACAGGACAGAAATGTATGGGAGAAGGACCAGCAGAAAATCCAGTTTCTGCCCTTTTTTCCTGGCTCTGCATGCCTTGGAAGCTTGACATACTGCATGGACCAATAATAATAATAATAATAAAAGCCCTTATAGTCTTAGGGAGAGATTTCTAGTCATTTTCCAGGATCCTTCTTCATTTTTAACTTATTCCATATGCTTTGCTACCCGCAGACCCCAGCCTCGGCAGCAGAAGCAATCTATGCTGCCCTGCCATTTAAGTGTGAGGAGCCCCAGCTCTATTGAAGCTTGTCATCTTGCCTATTAGCTTGATGTCTTTATTCACAGACCATCTGTACCACCGAGAGATACAGAGGCAGCTAATGTCAATATGAACAAATGCCTCCTCTTTTACAAGAAATGTCAAACACAGGACAGACTAAGAATGACCCCAGGAATACCAACAGATGTTCACTACAAGCCTCTCAAAAATCAATCCTTTCTACAGGGACTAATTAAGATGAAATAAGGAGCAAAAGTAAAGAAATTTGTGTCATATTATCAGGAACTTCATCCTCACTTTCCAAGCTCATTATGGGCAGATTGGCCTGTGCCCTTTGAAAAAATGCTAAAAAAGGGGTTGCAGCTACCAGGGCACTAGGGAGGCCTTCATTTGCCTCCAGTTTCAAACTGCAAAAAGAAAAATGCTCAAGAAAAAAAGTGTTACTTAGCATGATTTTTCTGGTCTGGTTTCTTTAAATGGTCCCACATAGAAAGGAGCCATTTTCAGAAAAATCTCCCAAAAAACAAATAAGAGGCTAGAAAAGGAAATTGTGACATTTTTCCATCAAAAAGGAGATAAGAGATTTTGGCATCCTGGGACTGGGAATCCAGGGAGATCAGGCTGGAGAATTTTCAATTCTGCAAGGTGATAATATTCTCAATTTTTCATTTGTTCTCATCCTCTGTGAAAAGGCAAAATCTTATTATTTGTGCTAGCCTCAAGTGCAGAGAGGTTGCCATTTCCTGAATTTCAAATACTGCTCATCTTTGCCTTTAAGTAAAGAAATATCTACCATCCACAATAATTGTTGTTCTTCATTAAACTATTTGTCACACTTTCTGGTTGGGTAACATTATTGGCGTAGTACAACCTAAAAACATAGATCTCAAACATTTATTTGCCAAAACATGTAGAGGATTATTTCATTGAGCCTAGCCCACTCCCAGGAGGTCAATTAGGGTGAGAAGCCACACCCATGAAGTAACTAAAGATATCCCTATCTCCCTGGCTTGAGAAATTATAAAGGAAAGGAGGCAATGTGAATCTGCTCTTATTTAGATGGATACACATAATTCACAAGCTTCAGTTCTTAATCACTGGTAAAAATTTGTTCAAGGCCTTGCTCAAAACATTATTCCTAAACTTGACCACTGAATCATGGTTAAGACCCTAAACTACTTTGGGGTCTACCGATAGTAAAGTCTGGGTCTCTTCCACCGTACCATGGCCCCCCTCTAAATTCTCCAGCATGAAGTAATGCACATCAGGAATGGGTCAACATTTTGACACTATGGGTTCTTTTTGTAGGTCAGGAGAGGTTTGATTTTTGGCAACTCAACCTATTCCATAACAGGAGAAAGATTCAATGGTTGCATGACCCACAAGGTTACTGATTTACTCTGTAATATAATGGGCCCCTCCCCCCCATCACCATCACATCACAATATAACTCCTCCCAGTGTGCTGCATGCTAGAGCCAGGGCTAGACTCCTCATGCCATGTCTGCCAAAGTTTTCTCAAACCTTTCCATCAGTTCATGGAAGAATTTGATACTAGATGTTTTCCTTTAACCGGGGAAGTGACTCAACCCTCTGTATGATTCCCTTAAAGAACACAAGAGCCAAATTCAAATGACTGTGCTTGGAACTCCAGTTCACTCTCTACTTGGTCTGGTAAGGCTGTATTTTACCTGGGTTAAATGTGGGGCAGAAATGAAAATGCACCAGAATTCTAAAATGAATAAGAATTTATTCATCCATAATTGATCCCCTGACCAGAGGAGAAGTCCTCTCTAGGAGGGTTTTCTCTCCAAGTCATCTGTTCTATAATGCTGCCCTGGGACAGTTTTAGTGTCCTTTATACTTCATTCACCCTTTAAGGGTAACTCACATAAAATGCCACATGATAAACAACTTTTGGGGAGAATGAAGCATTAACATGCCTTGGTCCCATCCAACCTATTCTCTTGCTAACATAATCCAATACAGTTTCTGTTCTTCTATCTCTGTCCTTTGTGATCATAACACTGAACTTGGCTTTGCTACTAAGTTTGTGGCTCACTGAAGACCATCTCGGCCTGGTAAGTTTGTATGGACAAGACTATGCTGAAAGGCAGTCTTTTTCTTCCAAGCAAAGATTGACAGTTTGTAAACTCCTGCATGGGAGACCAAGCAGGTGCAAGGAACTGTTTACTGCCCAGTCCAAGCACTAACCCAGTTATTATTGCTGTGCAAACACAAGAGCAAGAGTTATCAGATAGACGTGTAGAGCAGAGAGGGGTGCTGGCAGCTCAAGAGCCCCCTGGAAAATGGTTGAAGGGTTTTATCATCCCCAGTTACAGCCCTGGAATGGCTCTCGAATGTGGGTAATGAACAGAGCATCAAAGATGGAAAGAGAAAAGCTACACTTGCTAGATGAACCTCAACAAATCCAGGTTCTCTTTCACGTCAAAATGGTCCTCCTCAGGAACCCTGTCAATCAAAATGGCTGCCAAAGGAGCACAGTCTTCTGTCAGAGACACTGTCTGGGAAGACTGTCTGCCCCAAGGGGACTAAACGAGATTTCACTTCAAATGGTGTTTGAACCTTAGACCTAGAGGTCAAAGTGCTTCTGGGAAAGGAGGGTGGGGAATATAAGGGAAGTGAAGATCGAAATCTTGCTTGGAAACTCACATCTAATAAAAAGGCCTGAGACTTCTTATCAACAGATTCATCAAGGTCTTGTTACATGAAACTAGGAATAGGAAAACTGGGCTTCTAGTCCTGACTGCCACTGCGCAAGTCATTTACCTTCTTCAAGCCTCAGTTTTCTCACCTGTAACCTGGGTTACATGAATTTTTTAAAGTTCCTATATTTCAGATCTAAAAAGGTATAATTATTTGAATCCACTCTCATCTTCTATATTTATCTTTTCTAAGTAGAACATTCAAGGATAGTTTATGTGCTTTGGCTCTCAAAAGCCGTGAACTGAAATATCAGCTCTAACTGTTTGATTTGTACTTAATCCCCACAGCAGAGTGGAGCCCTTGTGCTGGTACATCTGAAGGTACACACAGGCTTACAAGGCACACATGTGGGCATCTCACATTAATAGTCTCAGGGCCCACAGCAGCCTCATCCTATCCCATCCCAGCACATAAACGATGAGTGATAACTCACCATGTCACACTATGCTTTCTGCACATCCAAGCTGGCAGTGCTTGCTGCACCCAGAACCTGGGAAACATCTGCAGTCTGTGATTCTTCCTCGTTTCCATTCCCATGATGCTCCCCGAGCCTGCTCGGATCAGAGAAAGGTCGCCGGCTCCATCTGGCCACCCTGCCCCCCTCCATTCTCCCCCTCACCACTCCCGTCCCCCCTAAGGAGTTTCTGCCCATTTTGTCACTTCCACCTGTTCTGACAGGTTCCCCTGCCTGACCCTGAGATAGCCCTTGGGGACATTAATCATATAACAGCCGGAGCCGTGAAAGAAACAAGGGTTTGGCTGGATACTGTTACCGTCTCTGTCACCTACTAATCATGTCCTATGACACGGAGGGGCTTAATCAGATGGTCTGCTCTCTCATTAATCATCCTGGGCTCACTCAAACTTCACAGAGAGATTCAAGTTTAGCTCTGCTGGCTCCCCACTCCTCCTCCCACTCATTCGCCTCCAGAGCAGTTTCACTCACGGTCGCTCTCAGGTTCCTTTGGCCTTGCCAACTGGCAGGGCACCTTGAAGTGTCGAATGCCTACCAACGCCACAACGGGCAGGAAGGGGGCATAAGTCCTCGCTTCCTTTCTGTTCTCCCCTCTCTGCCTCCCAATCCACAGAATAGGTTGAGAAAAAGAGAAAGGGAGAGACCAGAAACCCATTTAATAAGAGGACTGAAAATCAGACTTATGCTTATACCAAGAAGAAAGATGACAATTCACCTCTGTGAACCCTAACGAACTAATAATGGAGAATTTTCCTGCATTTAACCAAGAGCAAGGAAAATTAAATAAAACAATCATTTAAAAAATGATTAAAATAAGCATGTGTGGTACAGTTGGCTGGAGTGAGTGTGGCTGCTCCATGGGGAAAGGCACTCGCCTCCAAAGATACCAGCCCAGGATCACCCCCACTTGCCACTCTATGGAAATTATATTAGGAAGTCAAAAATAGTCTGTAAATTTGACAAGTTTTTTCCAGACAAAACTAAAATTACTGAAAGGATCCTCCAAAAATACCCCGTATGTGAGAATCAGAATACATTTTAGCTCAGCTGATCCATTCTTATCCTGTTTGCAATTCTGGGGACTTCAAAGGGGAAAAGCAAGTCCCGGCAACGGCCCTGGGCAAAGGGCTGCTCTCCGAGCGCTGGTTTTGTACTTGCTCCGGGAGCTGTTGACTTTTGCAGTGCTGCACGATTATGGGAAACAAGGATAATATTTGCCCTCAGAGCCAAGAAAGAACAAATATTTTATCAACATCTAAATCATCTCTCATCTGGCAGGGGAGGAGGGGCTGAAGGCTCAGCTGTACATACGTCAGCTGCCGAGGGCGAGGAGAGGGACTGCTGGGGGAGCCTTCTACCTGTGTAAACTTGTACTATCGATACCTCACAGCGCGCACACTGCAGAGAGAGCTCCCTGAGAAAAGCTAAAACACCTCTTTCTTCCCAGGTGCCTCTGCCACTACCCCTCATCCCAGAGTAACCACCCTGATGCCATCCTGCTTCCTCTCTCACTGCCAGACTTGGGAAGGTGGGGCATTTCTGTGGATATTTTGGGGATGATGAGGGCTTGCCCTGTTGTTATGTTTGTTTTCTATTCAGTGATCCTCCACCACTTGCCCAGAAATGACAGTAGGTGGAAACACTATCTTTCATTACACAAAGTATAAATAGTGTAATCTATCAGCGCTGTCAATCACAATGATTGATTACAGGCTGTCATAGAGAAGAGTGACATATTAGAAAAGTTTTGTTAACAATGCCTATTGCTAGTCAGCCTGCCACAGAGGCTGGTGATTAATGTGTTGTCAGCCTGTAATCCCACACCCTTGGCTAATGAGGCAGGAATTTATCATCTTTACAGAGTGGCAGATGTCAGGGAGAAAGGAATCCAAGTGCTGGAAACAATATACTTTTTCTTACTAGGCCTGACAAGTCTGACAGGCCGAAAAAAACCACAAAGCAGCTTTGTATAAGAACCAACTTAAAACGAGGAACTTTTCATTTGGCATCTTTGCTTTAAATAGTGCTGCAAACCAGCCTCGATCCCTTCAAAAAAGAAAAAGACATGGAGAGAGGAGAGCACAATGCTGAGTTCTGTGAACTCTGCACCCCGCTGCCGACGACTGAGACCCCGGGAAGAGGTTGCCATGGTGAGCAGACAGCTTCTCTGGAAGAGGAGCCCAGGGTAACTTTTCCCTTTTACCTGTGAACTTGTGACCAGGAGGTAAACACAGTATCCAGAGGAAGCTGAGCGTTGCAGCTTCTCTTGTCACTGCCTTGGGACAGCTTTTACCTGGAGACACACCTCCCTTTCTAGAAACACTGCCCTTTCTGTTGTGGATGAAAAGTGGGGGTGAGCAGGAGTTAAGAAAGGGGGCTCTCCATTGGTCAGAAAAAGCAACACAGCAGAGGGAGCGCCCTTGGAAAATGACTTTCACCAATGCTCTGCTCTTATTTGAAACTACTTCCAGGTTGATTTTTTTCTGTCTCATCTTCCCTTCCATTTAACTCTTCCATTTTTCACATGGGACAATGACTAAAATTTCTCTAAACCAAGGAAATTCAAGCCCAGGCTAGAAGTATCTCGAGACCCTCTTACTAAATGCCTCCTCCTTCTGCATCCCTTCCCTTCAACTGTATCTGCCACCTCTCCACACAGTTCTAATAACAGGAGACCCTGGACCTTTCTTAAAACCCTGGACCCTTCTTAAGATGCTTTGGGCAAATCTCGGATCTTCTAAGACCCTTAGATGCTTCTGAATCTTGGCTATATATTTCATCTTTGCCTGGATTGTCCATTCTGTTCTAAATAACTCCTAAGGACCACCACACACAGGAAACACCCAATGTTTTCCATGGAGTATTGAAGATATTTCCAAACTTGAAGATCAAAACTCTTCTCTCAACACTGATGCATTCTATCCACACTCAAGCTAGGAAGAGAGCCAAGGGGGAATGCCTATCTGGTCTGGAAAGTTCCCCAGGCCAATACCCTGTGAAGATGCAGTGTGGTGCTTGTTCTCATGTCAATCTCCGAGGAAGGGGGCAAATCTTAAGTGGCAACATTCTGACGGATGTAATCCTTTTTCAAACACAGATACCTCCGCTAATGTACACAGATGCAATGTACAAAAACAAAGAGGGAGACAGCAACCAGAGCAGAAAAACTCTGCCTTCTGTCAACAGCACCCTCAGGCAAAAACACACAGCAAAGCATTAAGTAACTTCATCTCTAAAAGGCAGCATTCTGGCATTAAGATGCACAGGATCCCTGGAGCCCAAACACACCCAATGCACTGAGAGATGGGTTTAGTGGGCCAGGAACGCACACTCTCAGGAAGAAACTCGGGAAAATGCCAAGTTTCTTCCCCAGACCCAATGTGCTCAAGGCTGTGGACCTGTGAGGAGCCTGGAGTCAGAGACTGGACAGTTGGAGGACCCGGGTGGAAGCACCCCGCCATTCTTTGGGGGATCAGCACAAGAGGCAAGCTAAAGGCTGATGAAGATCAGACGGCTCTGAGTGAAGGGTGACGAGGGCGGCGCCGGCTCCACTCTGCCCAGGCCACTGACATCCAGGCCCCAGATCTCACTTAATGATAAGCAAGGAGCTGTGCAGATGGCCCCTCCCCTTATCCTGCTTCCCCATGTGCTAAGAGAGCCTCCCACCCAGAGCCTCCTGAGGGGGCAGGGTGCTCGGTGGGTCTCCCCCAGCCCCGTCCTCATGACTACCAGGAAATAGAGCCCCCATCTGGCCCTCCTGCCTGCCAGTCCCCCACCCCTCTCTTCCCCCACTTGCTCATGCAGCTTTCATTAACTACCCCCAGCCGTCAATTTCCAATCCATTTGATGACAGATTAGAAGTGGAATTCAAAAAGCAAGTCACTTGACCTCCCATAATGTGCTTCTCTTAATTACATTAAAGATTTTCCAACATAACCATACTGGGTTTGACAGGTAAGGGTTTAATCAACTTCAGGTGGCCACTTTTAAGTGCTCCCCACACTGGGGCCATGACGTTGGCGTCACCAAGGCTCCTAATGTGGTTCTAATTTAAATGGCTAATTTTGACACAAGGAAAAGATGAGGGGCCCATGGAGCCCCCACCACCTTGGTAGGAGTGGTTTCTAAATTAGGATTAATGCAGCAAGCTGCAGCCTAGTTGGAGGTTTATTTTATGGAGGTTGGAGCAAGTAAATAACATTTATCCTTTGTATACGCCTGCATATAATTACAGTAAAGTTTTCTTGTGTGTTAAATTATACAAACTCTTCAAAAGTGGGTGCCTAATGTCTTTTTCTAAAGCTGTGTTATTATTTTGGTCAAAAGTTGTTTACATTCAACAAATTCAATTTACTAAACTTTGACATGTTTGCACAACTGCATATAATTTATGCTGGAAGTCTGAATCATGACTTTCAAATGAACTTTCTTGGTTCTGACTTGATGGACTGGGGTTGGAACATCTAGGTGTGGTGGTGCCCTCCATCACGTTTCTGTGGCCTTACTTGATTTCATCGTCCTCTCATAAAGTCTTCTAATCATCTGGTAAATATTTATTCTGTACCTACTGTGGTTGAAGCACTATGCTGGGTGAAGTTATATTATCATGAAGATATAATGATGAACAAAAATAATGTTATGGCCCTTGTCCTGAGGAGCTTAAAGATGATTTAAGGAAATGGATAGGCAAAAAAACACATGAAGACATACATGTTAAATTGAAAAGTCAAGAAGGGCTAGGAAGAAGAGGTATATGCTGTTTTAAGGACCTTGAAAAAAAAAAAAGCAAGAGCTGGTCTTGGAAGAAGTCATCCCTGGGGAAGTAATATTGTGAGCTGAGAACAGGAGGAGGAAAATGACAAAGTTAACAAGATGACTGAGGGAATGCCAACTGCATTTAGGCAGAAGGAAGAGCATTGGCAAAGGCTTATGGTAAGATGGAGACTGGTATTTTAGAGAAACTAAAAAGAAGGTGAGCATGTATGAGTGTGTGGCATTGCCTGAAGGTCTGGGAATGTGTGTGAGGGAAGCAGATGGTGTGAGATGAAACTGGAGAGTTGCTAAGAGGGCTAGACTATGCAGAGCGCAGTAGACCAGGTTAGGAAGTTTGCTCTTCATCTTAAATGCAAGGCTAAGCAGTGCAAGGTTTGAAGCTGGGGAATGACCTGATTTGTCTGAATTTTGCAAACATCTGTTGAAGGGACCAGAGTATATTGTGAGGGGTTAAAAGTGGCTAAAGGTAGATAACTTTGGAGGCTATAACAGTAGTCCCAAATTTAAGAAATACAAAACACAAACATGATATGGTTTGAACTTGGGTGATGATGGTGAAGAATGAGAGTGGATGGCTTTAAGAAGTAATAAAGTAAACTGGTAGGACGTTGGGACCAATGGGTCAACTCTTAGGTCTCCTACAAGAAGGCAGACACCTTAGGAGCTCAGAGAACATGTCCATGGGCATATACAGGTAATAGTTAAAACTACAGATACGGATGAGACCACCAAGAAAGAGGTCAGACTGAGAAGAGAAGTCCTTGGGCAGAGACATTTCAACATTTATTTGCTAGGTTTATAAACCTGTACAAGATGGTGTAAGAATGGCCAGGGAGGTAGTCAAAAAACCACATGGATCAGAAAATCCAAGGAAAGACTATGTTTCCAAAAGAAGGTGTAAACAATAGATTTTACTACTGCTAAAAAGCCAAGCAAGATACACACTAAAAGTTCCCTTGAATTTAGTCACTTGGAGGTCACAGGGAATTAAACTAGTTGCAGAGTTCAGTTCAGTTCAGACACTCAGTCATGTCCAACTCTTTGCAACTCCATGGACTGCAGCACGCCAGGCCTGTCTATCACCATCCCTGGAATTGAACCAAACTCATGTCCACTGAGTCGGTGATGCCATCCTACCATCTCATTCTCTGTCATCCCCTTCTCCTCCTGCCTTCAATCTTTCCCAGCATCAGGGCCTTTTCAAATGAGTCAGTTCTTCACATCAGGTGGCCAAAATATTGGAGTTTCAACTTCAACATCAGTCCTTCCAATGAATGCTCAGGACTGATCCCCTTTAGGATGGACCGGTTGGATCTCCTTGCAGTCCAAGGGACTCTCAAGTCTTCCCCAAAACCACTAAAGCATCAATTCTTCAGAACTCAGGTTTCCTTATACTCCAACTCTCACATCCCATACGTGACTACGAGAAAAACCATAGTCTTGACTAGATGGACCTTTGTTGACAAAATAATGTCTCTGCTTTTTAATAAGCTGTCTAGGTTGGTCATAACTTTCCTTCCAAGGAGTAAACCTCTTTTAATATCATGGCTGCAATCACCATCTGCAGTGATTTTGGAGCCCAGAAAAATAAAGTCAGCCACTGTTTCTACTGTTTCCCCATCTATTTCCCATGAAGTGATGGGACCAGATGCCATGATCTTAGTTTTCTGGAATGTTGAGCTTTAAGCCAACTTTTTCACTCTCCTCTTTCAATTTCATCAAGAGGCTCTTTAGTTCTTCTTCACGTTCTGCCATAAGGGTGGTGTCATCTGCATATCTGAGGTTATTGATATTTCTCCCGGCAATCTTGATTCCAGCTTGTGCTTCTTCCAGCCCAGCGTTTCTCATGATGTACTCTGCATATAAGTTAAATAAGCAGGGTGACAATATACAGCCTTGACGTACTCCTTTTCCTATTTGGAACCAGTCTGTTGTTCCATGTCCAGTTCTAACTGTTGCTTCCTGACCTGCATACAGGTTTCTCAAGAGGCAGGTCAGGTGGTCTGGTATTCCCATCTCTTTCAGAATTTTCCACAGTTTATTGTGATCCACACAGTCAAAGGCTTTGGCATAGTCAATAAAGCAGAAATAGATGTTTTTCTGGAACTCTCTTGCTTTTTCGATGATCCAGCGGATGTTGGCAATTTGATCTCTGGTTCCTCTGCCTTTTCTAAAACCAGCTTGAACATCTGGAAGTTCACGGTTCACGTATTGCTGAAGCCTGGCTTGGAGAATTTTGAGCATTACTTTACTAGCGTGTGAGATGAGTGCAATTGTGCAGTAGTTTGAGCATTCTTTGGCATTGCCTTTCTTTGGGATTGGAATGAAAACTGACCTTTTCCAGTCCTGTGGCCACTGCTGAGTTTTCCAAATTTGCTGGCATATTGAGTGCAGCACTTTCACAGCATCATCTTTCAGGATTTGAAATAGCTCAACTGGAATTCCATCACCTCCACTAGCTTTGTTCATAGTGATGCTTCCTAAGGCCCACTTGACTTCACATTCCAGGATGTCTGGCTCTAGGTGAGTGATCATACCATCGTGGTTATCTGGGTCATGAAGATCTTTTTTGTACAGTTCTTCTGTGTATTCTTGCCATCTCTTCTTAATATCTTCTGCTTCTGTTAGGTCCATACCATTTCTGTCCTTGATTGATCCCATTGTTGCATAAAGTGTTCCCTTGGTATCTCTAATATTCTTGAAGAGATCTCTAGCCTTTCCCATTCTGTTGTTTTCCTCTGTTTCTTTGCACTGATCACTGAAGAAGGCTTTCTTATCTCTCCTTGCTATTCTTTGGAACTCTGCATTCAAATGGGTATATCTTTCCTTTTCTCCTTTGCTTTTCACTTCTCTTCTTTTCACTGCTATTTGTAAGGCCTCCTCAGACAGCCATTTTGCTTTTTGCATTTCTTTTTCTTGGGGATGGTCTTGATCCCTGTCTCCTGTACAATGTCACGAACCTCCATCCGTAGCTCATCAGGCATTCTATCTGATAGAGTTGCAGAGTAATGGATTCAAAACCTACACTGATATAGAATGCAGTTAGTTACTGAATAAGTTGAAGGTATAGAAATGGAAACTGTTGCAAGAGGCAAATCTTTTGAAAAGTCCAACACTAAAGAGAGAAGATATAGGCCCTGTAGATGGCCACAGGTAAAGTAGTTGCTTGTTTAAAGAAGAGAACTAAGAGTTCTCAAAATCTGATCAGAAAGTTTGGGTTGTAAGGGACAGCTTGACTACATAAGATAAAGAAGGAAAAAATGACTCTGCATCCACCAGAGGGAGAAGCAATTGATGGTATCCTTCCTTAGACAGAAGGGAGACTTGATTGATTTTGCTGTTATGTTACTGCAAGAGATTTCTCTAGAGGATGGAATGAACATTCTTTTATCAGCAGACTTAAAGGTACCCAAGGATGAAAGCCTCGCCACTGACACTGTTAAAGTCATGTAAAGTCTTACTCGGACTTCATGAAAGGTGGTCAGCATTTTGGAAGGAGAAGCAAGACAGACAGCTAATCACCAGACCCACTGGTAGCTCAGAATGTGCCCTAAGGACTCATAGAACCAACAGTGCACTGGAGGCCCTGACCTGTTGCTGAGGGAGGGCCACAGCCAAGGTGAGTTAGGACATTGGGGTATCTGGATGAGCAGATGGCATTTAGATCTGTTTCTCATATTTTCATATCTTTCCTATCCTTTTAGGAACATGTTGCCCATTGATCAACAAGTACCTACAATGTGATCATCTATACTTGACCTTGTGGGAAACAGACAGAAAGTAAAAAGCATAACTGATATCTTGGCATAATTCATAGAGTAACTGAAATATTAAGACATAAATACTTGAAATAAGAACACTAACTCAGTAAGAGCCCTCTCCAAGATTTAGAGTGAAAGGATTGGTTTAAAAATCTTTTGGAGGAGGTAGAATGTAAACTGTGTGGCAGGTTAAGTAGGACTTGCATTGGTGCTAAGCAGAGGGCAGGGGATTGAGCTGTGTTTCCTATCACACTTAACACTTCTCCCCTAATGCATGCGTGCATGTGTGAGTGCGAAGTCGCTTCAATCGTGTTTGACTCTGTGCAACCCCATGGACTGTAGCCAGGCTCCTCTGTCCATGGGATTTCCCAGATCAGAATTCTAGAGTGGGTTGCCATTTCCTTCTCCAGGGGAACTTCCTGACCCAGGGATCAAATCCAGGTCTCCCATTTGGCAGGCAGATTCTTTATCACTGAGCCACCTGGGAAGTCCATGACTAACATCTGGGTAATTTTCCTTCCACTCTTTTCTCTCATTTTTTTATGTGTGGGTATGCATGTGCACATGTAAACACAAACATCACAGGCACACCCAGATGTAACATGGATCTGTTTACCCAAGTATCTTGTTTTCCAGATAGTTTTCTGATATGATGACTGACAGCTGTTTTATATTATAAACACGCATAATGTAGAGGTGAAATCACCCATAACCCCACCTCCAGAGACCACATCTAGTCCAGTCTTGGTGGCACCGTGGGTTGGGCCCAAGGAACCCCAATAACTTGCTGAGGACAGATTTGTTGACCCATCACCTGGGTCAGAGACCCCATTACTGAAAAACACTTGTTCAGGCAGCAAGTGAGCGCGCTCCCTACCCTGGCTCTGGTGACGAGATATTTAGAGGCTGGTATTTCCCCAAACTTGAAATAAGCAGTGATAAAACTGCCATATTTCCATTTGGTATAAATTTCTTATTTCTCCAATTTCTTTTAGACTCAGCAGTATTTCTACCTTATACTTTGGGTGACGAGACTGCTCTTGGGATAAAGACAGTGATTTTGGCTAGGTCTCTGACTAGGAAAGACTCTTTTCCCCTGAGGGTAGAAATATTCCAGGACCAGGTCCTTGCAAGAACCAGAATTTAATACAAATGGCTCAAATGAAGAAACATTAAAGAAAGGACACTTGAAAGCACAGGGTGAGAGGAAGTGCCAGCATGTGGAGGGACCTAAAGACTAGGAAGAGGGGAGCTGTGACCACCCATGGCTGAAGAACCCAGGGAAGGAAACAGTGTTGACAGACACCAGGGAAAATTGGGTCATGTAGGAAGGTCTCCACTCTCAGGGGAGACTGAGGTGATCAGAACAGACAGGATGTAAACAATCAAGAGGTGCTTTCACTGCATTCTAGAAACAGGTCTCAGTCTAACCTCCAAAAGCCCCACTGCCTGATGGGATGAGCAGGGGGCACAAGACCAGCATCTCTCAGCATCCAAGCCCTTGGCTCTCACACTATGGCCCCTGGGTCAGCAATATCAGCACCACCTGGGCACTTGTCAGGATGCAAATACCTGGGCCCATTTCAGACCCAAATTAGAAACTGTGGGAGTGGGGCTCAGAATACTGTTTTAACAATCCCTGCAAGCTACAGTTTGAGAACCCAGCATAATGTAGAGGTGAAATCACCCATAACCCCACCTCCAGAGACCACATCTAGTCCAGTCTTGGTGGCACCGTGGGTTGGGCCCAAGGAACCCCAATAACTTGCTGAGGACAGATTTGTTGACCCATCACCTGGGTCAGAGACCCCATTACTGAAAAACACTTGTTCAGGCAGCAAGTGAGCGCGCTCCCTACCCTGGCTCTGGTGACGAGATATTTAGAGGCTGGTATTTCCCCAAACTTGAAATAAGCAGTGATAAAACTGCCATATTTCCATTTGGTATAAATTTCTTATTTCTCCAATTTCTTTTAGACTCAGCAGTATTTCTACCTTATACTTTGGGTGACGAGACTGCTCTTGGGATAAAGACAGTGATTTTGGCTAGGTCTCTGACTAGGAAAGACTCTTTTCCCCTGAGGGGAGAAATATTCCAGGACCAGGTCCTTGCAAGAGCCAGAATTTAATACAAATGGCTCAAATGAAGAAACATTAAAGAAAGGACACTTGAAAGCACAGGGTGAGAGGAAGTGCCAGCATGTGGAGGGACCTAAAGACTAGGAAGAGGGGAGCTGTGACCACCCATGGCTGAAGAACCCAGGGAAGGAAACAGTGTTGACAGACACCAGGGAAAATTGGGTCATGTAGGAAGGTCTCCACTCTCAGGGGAGACTGAGGTGATCAGAACAGACAGGATGTAAACAATCAAGAGGTGCTTTCACTGCATTCTAGAAACAGGTCTCAGTCTAACCTCCAAAAGCCCCACTGCCTGATGGGATGAGCAGGGGGCACAAGACCAGCATCTCTCAGCATCCAAGCCCTTGGCTCTCACACTATGGCCCCTGGGTCAGCAATATCAGCACCACCTGGGCACTTGTCAGGATGCAAATACCTGGGCCCATTTCAGACCCAAATTAGAAACTGTGGGAGTGGGGCTCAGAATACTGTTTTAACAATCCCTGCAAGCTACAGTTTGAGAACCCCAAATCTAAGCTAAGAAGGCGCCTTTGAAGAGGTCTAACAAGAAACACCTGGAAGGGTTGATCCAGCCCAACCAAGGCAGCTTATTAACCACTTGTGGGCCTCTACCCCAACCCCCTGCACCCCCAGTTTAGAAAAGCCCCAGAATCTGGGAAGCAATGAGCTCTTGTGAACAAACAACACTGGAAATAAGCTCTCCGAAGTTCAGACTCCGTCTGGGCAGAAATGCTGCTTTGGGACACCAGGGGGATATTTTAGAATGATGGAGACTGTTCCCAGCAGCCTGAGGACTGAGGACTCTCTTCTCACTCTGGCAAAAGGATGGACATAAGCAGGACTCTGCTGTTACTAATACCACTGGGAGATGATGTATTTCTGCTAATGGCACCTTCTGTCGCTACCGAGAAGCTGCTCCAGCTTCCTCTTGTCCTGCAGAGAATCTGGCAGCCTCCAGAAGATGTAATAGAGACCCGAGGACATTTGGAAGATGCACGACACAGGAAGGGTGTTTTCAATTTGATTTACCTTCCATCTCCTACAAGGAGCCAATAGTTAGTACCACACTGCATCATAAGCCCAGCACGCACCAAGAGTGGGCCTGGGGGAGACAAAATAACCCTTGTCAAGTTACAAGGGGTGATCACATTGTGGCTTGTGACGTGCTCCTCCAAAGATACAATAACTGAGAATTAGCTTAAGGACAGCAGGAGGGACTCAGGATGGAACTGGGGAAACAACACAGGGCTATTTTACGGCTAGAGACCAATAGGGGTTCTCATCCACTGCCTGAAGAACGAATAGTTTGTGAATTCACTCTCAGCACACTATTGATGGGTTGGGATGGAAAACAATTATGTGGGGACTAAGTAAGACCTTAAGCTTTTAAGTATAGTGAATGAAAATATTCAGGAGCTTAGGTTTGTACTGTAGAAGTGGATCATTTACAAAACTGAAATACCTCTTAAATCAGGTTTGTTCACATGCATTCACAGGCACTATTGAAAGCAGAAGCATTATTTTAAACAGGTCATGGCAATGTCAACAAGGCTTGTATTCACTCTCTCAGTTTTTCATTCAATAAATGCTTATTGGGCACTGTATTAGTTTCCTAAAGCTGCTTTAAAAACTCACTACAAATCTGGTGGCTTAAAACATCAAAAATTTATTCCATAACAGTTCTGAAAGCCAGAAGCCAGAAATCAAGGTATCAACAGAGTCACACTCCATATTCCAATAGCTCTAGGAGAGAACCCTTCCCCGCCTCTTCCAGGTTCTCATGGTACAGGTATTCACCGACTTGGGGCTACATCACTCCAGTGTCTGCCTCCTCCTTCCCAAGCTTCTTCCCTGTGTCTCTTTGTCTGTTTCCCCTTCTCTTATCTTGTAAGAACCTATCACTGAATTTAAGGCCAAACCTACTTCAGGATAATTTCATCTTGGGACTCCTAAATTACCTCTGCAAAGACTCATTTTCCAAATAAGGTCACATTCCCAGGTCCTAGCTGGACATATCTTTGGGGAGGCCAGTATTCAACTTATTAAGTACTTACTGTGAACTTGGCACTATTCCAGGAGGTTAGGATACATCTGTGATAAGATAGATAGATAGATGATAGATAGATAGATAGATAGATAGATAGATAGATAGATAGATATAGATATAGATATAGATATAGATATAGATATAGATATAGATATAGATATATATAAACTCCTCTGTTTATGGAGCTCAAATTCTAGCAGGGGAAACAAATGACAAATACTAAGCATAATAAATTCATCCAATGTAGTTTCTTTAGAAGTGGTAAGTACTCTGGAAAAAGAAGAAGTACAACAGGGTCAAAAGGGTCATTGATTACTGGGGTGATATTGATAGGGGGTAGTTTGGCAGTATTAAATAGAGTGGTTCAGGTGAGTCTTGCTGAAAAGGAAAGATCAGGAAAGACCTGGAGAAAGTAAGGGAATTTCTATATATGAGTGTCAGTGAGAAGAGTCTTTCAGGCAGAGGAAATGACTAGAACGAAGTCAGGAAGGCAGGACTTCTACACTATAGAAGCAGCAAGCAGGCCAGTGTGGTTGGAGCAGACTGAGTGGGGAGAATGTAGGAGAGGGGAGGCAGGGAGGCAGGGTAAGGGAGGGCCTTCCAGGGAAATGGGAAGTCAGTGCAGGAGTCCCGTGGAGGAGAGACCCTTACTCTTTCTGGAATCTTTTCAACCATTCACTCATCTACTCAAAACTTCAGCCTAATTTGTTACACTAGCGGGGACATGGAAAACAAAACAAAACAAACAGCAGGCAAAGTCACCTGGGATTTTTAAGGAAGGGAGGTTTTTATTTACAGCAGCATGGGCAAGAGAAAGAAAATCAACATAGATGTCAAGGCCAGAGAGTCGCAACAGCAGAAATTCACTACTAAGATGTATGTGAGATCTAGAGCTAAAAAAATATGGAGAGGACGGCATGACCCCAACTGTCGTCCAGGGTGGACGCATGCACTTCAGGTGAGAACAGGAAAGGAAATAGCTCTACTTCCCTCTCCTACAATTTTCTGATCTGGGTGATACTGCTCACTGTCCAAACCGAATCAGAAACCAGAAGGCAATGGAGCCTAGGAGTCAAGGCAGAGCCCACCCTTCAGA